ATCACCCGCCTCCCTTCAGAATAAATCAGGTGAGTGAGGTTTGGCTCACAGGCCGCTAGGATCTGCTTCTAGAAAGGGCGAGAGTGAAACAGAGTCCATCTCTGGTGACGTGCGGCCTGTTTTGGTGATTTTTTCTTCAATGGCTCTACGATTTTACTGAGAAAGTTCAAGCTACAGTGCACAGGTCCCATTATAAATTCATGGGGAGAACTATACCCAAAATAAAATTAACCTTTAATTAATTTTCTTTCATCTTTTCTTGCTTGCTTGCTTGCTTGTTCTTTTTCTTTTTTGTTCTTTGTTGTAGAGATCAAATCCTGGGCCTTGTGCATGCTAGACAAGTGCTCTACCATTGAACTATACCCCCAGCCCTATTTCATTTCTGTTTGGGGGGTTTTTTAAAGTGTATATTTTAATCTGCATGTGTTAATTGCACAGTAAAATAAGCATATTCCATAGGATTGGTAGTAACGAAAACAGCAAAATAGATTGGTTTTGTCTGACACTCTGAGGTTTTTTTTTAAATAATTTCACTTAGAAGGTTAAAAAACATGTTTTTGAATTTACACAGGAAAGGGGAAAAGCTGATTTACTCATTATAATCATCCATTCTAGCTCTTCAGAGTCAGAAAATTAGTGCCCTGGGGTTTTTCTAGAGTGTCTATGGCAAGTTCAGATTTTTCTCACAAAGAACGATGATGTGAACCAAGCGGCCCCCCGAGTCCAGACACTGAAACACACACTCACGGGTGTCGCCCAAAGCCCATGGAGAAACCCAAGTAAGACAACCCGTCTAAGCGCACGGAACAGGCACAGTCATTTAGCGAGTTCCAGAATTAACTCTGTCCCACTCTGACGGATTCGCACGGCTGATCAAGCAGTGACTGTCTCACCTAGTGCCATTGATGCTTACTGTGGATATTTTTCTTGTACGACCTCATTACACTGCACTACAACCCTAAAGGGTAGACACAAGTATGGCCATTTCACAGATGTAGAGACCAACGCTACAACAGGAGGATGATTTGCCCCAGGGTACTCAGTGAGTACAGGGCAGATCAGAGGTTAGAGCCCCATTCCCATGCTATGAATTCCTTTTTTTTTTTTTCAGTAGTGTGGATTAACCAAGGGTTTTCTCACTAAGCTACATCAGCAGTCCTCTTTCCTTTTTTATCTTGAGACAGGATCTCACTGAGTGGCTAAGTTGCCCAGGTTAGGCGCCAACTAGAGATACTCCTGCCTCAGCCTCCCAGGTGCTGGGATTACAGTCTTGTACTACCATGCCCAGTTCCCATCCAAGGAATCATGAATCTCTGATATTATTACTTCTTTCTGCTGAAGTGACTTCCTTTAAAGCAAACAAAATAAAACAACTTTTTTTTCCTCTGCCAAACTGCAAAGTCCTCTTAGGGCAAGAACTGAATTCCACTCAAAGGCTTGTCTTAATTACAAGTAAAGCAAAAACACAGGCTCCAGGCTCCTCCAATGAATGCCATAAAGACAGGTCTTCCTTGCTTGTATACGGGGTATTGTTTCTACCAAGAATTTAGGCAATTTCGCAGCAAGGATCCTCAGCCTCAGTCCCCTGTCACTAGAGGCATTCTTAAACTACCTCACAGAAAGCAGTTTTATTAAAAACAAAGAGTGGAAACAAAAAGGGAGAAATTATGTGGCAGTCAACCTAGAGTTTTGTCCTCGAGCAGTACAAAGAAAGAAAATCTATTCTTAAGCTCCCCTGAGCACCTAAAACTCCATAATTTCCAGTGGTTTATGGGCTTCCCATCCTTCTTCTCCCAGCCCATACCAGCACCCCAAGTTCCAGGGCAGCATGATGGAGCAGGGCCAGCTCCAATGGCCCCCCTGCCTTACGAGCGCCCTCCACACCCCCTACCCAACAGAAAGCCCAACAAGGGCTCTCTCCTCTCTCTGCTTCTCTTTGGAAATGGAAACAGTGCCTCCCCCCATCAGCTCTTGGACAGAGCATGGCCACCTGAAATAAACACTACATTTCCCACATGTTCCCTTGTATGCTTAAGTTCTGGCTAATAGGATACAGGCTGAAGTATCTAGAGACAACTTCCAAAGTGATGCTGAGCATGTGTCCTTCGCCTTCCTTTGCTGCAGTTCTGCTTCCTGCTGACTGAAAGAAGGAAGTGAAGTCTGGAGGGTCCAACATCCTTCTTGGACCATAACTGTCTCTCCTTAGGGATGGTAGGGCAGAAAGCTGAGAAGAACAGAAGGAACTGAGCTCTGGGCTGCTGACTTAGGTAAGAGAATGAAACGTTTTGCATATTCTGTAATAATCCTGATCCCATGTCAAGTAGATTCACTTTAAGAGGAAATACTTGGTGGCAAAAATAATCACATAATAAGAAGCTCCATGATTCCAAAATTCCCAGGCAATACTGAGTTCCAGGGATAAACTTCCCTCCTTCCTGATGTTCCACATCCTAAGCATCTCAGTTGTAGGGACTGTCCATCCGTTCCACCCTTTCTCTTCTTCCCTCTGCTCCAACACAAAAGAAATACATTGTCCAAGCAGTGACACAGATGACCAGATGTTCACAGCTGGATGTTTACTCCTACCTAACAGCCATCTCCATACCAAAGCAATCCTGCAGGGCCTGTCTTCTCGCACACAGCTGTCCCATCGTGGCGGTGGTTTGGGGACAACCGTAAGAGCCTGTTTTCTGAGTGCCTACCCTGTGCCAAGCTCTGATCCAAGCATCTTAGATATTGCAATGACTTGGAGCTGCTCCACAACTCTAAGGTATGTACTATTATTGGCCCCATTTTACAGATAAGGAACCTGAGATAGAGAGATACTAAGAAATATGCCTAGAAGTCTCAAAGCAAGGATTCAAACTCAGTGACATACCTGGTAGTTTGTACACACACCCACTACCCTACACTTTTCCAAAGGAAGAGGAATGAGGAGGGAAAGAGAGGTTATTTTACACACACACACACACACACACACACACACACACACACCAGTCTCTAATGCGTACATACTTCACTAGAAACTTTAATTTTAATGTTTTCTCATTACACCAGAAAATTCCTAGCATTTCCAGGCTTTGAATAGAAGGATCTCTTGCTTCAGTTGTGTCATCCCCTGCATATTCCAAAGTGGATTTCCCAGCCCTCAGTAACAGTGGAGACACAGAGGACTAGAAGCAAAACTGTTTAAAAATCACCCCTGACTTCAGCAAGAGACAAAGACAGAAACCAATTCATGGAAGTGAAACACAACCTCAGAGAAGAAATTACACATTCCAGCACCAAAATGTCTCTGGTACTTTGTTTGAGAGGTGGAGGTTCTAGAAAACAATCTATACTATTTCCACCAGGGCCTACGTTGTTGCCACTTAAAAGGATCTGGAGACAGGACCTCTGGGTGCTGCGTGAAACTGAGGCTCCAAGTCTTAGCAAGAGGTGCTGGCAGGTGTAGGAGGCTCCTTGGCTGAGCCCACGCTGGCCCAGACCTCAGACAAGAGCCTGCATCTCAGAGGACGGGGTGCCGTGCCAAGGGTCAGCGTTCACACAACGCACCAGGCCGCCCCTACTGGGCCTCCACTCCTCTTCGCTGGAGGGTGCAGGGGCAACAACCAAACTATCAGTGAGTGCTAAGTCACATTTCAGACTCCTCGATGCTCAAATGCTTTCTTCTCCTGATATAAATTCAGATCGCCTAGGTGATCCATTTACTCCCAAGACACACACAAGAAATGCTCCACTTCTCAACTGCACCTGGGCTAAAAGTGGGAGGAAAGGGCCCACACATGTGCACGCACGCACACATGCACACGTGCGCACACATGCACGCACTTTCCAAACCAGAGGCTGCAAATCCAAATGCCTGCATGGGGCAGAAATGGGTGAAGCAAGCCGGGGAGAGAGGGATGGAGACAATATGGAGAATGTGTGCCCTGTCTACAAAAACAGCAGTTCCAAAGAACTGCTCTAATGTGGAAGGAGGACCATGGTTCACCAAAGTTGAAGGTGGAAATTCAGATATGTATATAGAATCACTCCGTTCTGAAATGTTAACATCAAGTTCACAATACGCTTAAGACATCCTAAGGGTTAAACAAGTCTGCAGGTGTTAGCTTCGGAGAGCCAATGTGCCACCTATTTTTTAGACATTAGCCCCAGAGCCAGGCTTGGTCATGCTTGCCTGCACCCCTGGCAACTTAGAAGTCTGAGGCAGGAGGATCACTCGAGCCCAGGAGTTCAAGTGCAGTCTGGGCAACATAGCAAAACCTTGTCTAAAACCCTAAAAACATAAAATTTTTAAAAACCAACAGAGACAGCTGAAGCCTCCTTAGGCCCAATAAAAAGGCCCACTCTTAGGCCGGGCGTCCCTGGTGAGGGTCAAGGGTCTCAAACCAGAGGCAAGGACACCGCTAACCAGCCACTCCGAATTATTCTCATCAGTACCCAGAAGCTAGAAAGGGCAGTTTAAACTAGGGTCTGAGAAGCACCCCATGTGGAACCACTTCTTTCAGAGAGGGCAGAGGCGCAGGAGAGAGCACCGTTGCTTCTCTAGGGGACGCACCATCTGCAGAGGAAGCAGCCACCTGCGGAGACCTCTCTGTAAAGCAGGGAAGAGGTGAAACCCCACTGAGCGGAGGAGGGCAAGGGTAGGCCAGAAAGGGACTGTGAAGACACCTCCTCCCCAAGCAGGAACGACCAAGCCAGGAGGGGCTCCGGAGCCTGACGCCTCCTCAGGGGAGGGAGGAGGGGCGCCCCTCTGCTACAGCTCTGTGACACGAAAGGGCGCTGGGCTCCACCAGCTTTTCCCCGAAGGAGCATCTCTGTCCGCCCCCCCCACACACACACCCCTTAAGAGGACCCTTGGGCGATGAAGAATTCCTACCCCGGGAGGGCACTCGGACACACACGATTCCTCCGCGCTGCCTAACTCGCTCATTTCCATAAAGTCCTTTGCACTCTCTCTTCCCACAAACAGCAGAAGCCCAGAGCCCGCGACGTACCTTGACACTGGAATCCCTGCTTCCCGAATCCCCTGCAAGAGTACAAGGAGGCTCGTCAGGCTGAGACCCGGCCACCAGCTAGCCCCCCCACGAAGTCACCCCTCCCCGGGCTCTTCCCCAGGTGCAGCCTCCCCGCCACAGGCGGGTGCCCCAAGAGTCCCGCCTGGGGGGCTGGGGCGGTAGGTGGGAGCTCGGCGGGAACCCTCAGCTCCAGTCCCCCAGGCGGGAGAGAGGAAACTGCGACCACCAGGAGGCGGGATGGGGGAGCGTTTCCGTCGGGTGGCGGCGGCAGGCAGGCAGGTGATCTGCCCTGAGGTGCCCCAGTACCCTCGGGCAAAGAGGAGCGGGAAGGTGCACAGGGGAGCAGGAGAGGGGCCCGCGGGGGCGGCGTCCCCTGGGGGGACCGGGACGGGGGGGGGTGCCCCCGCCTCGGGGTCGAGGAAGAAGGGGGCCCGCAGTGGTGAGGGGAGGACGGAGAGTGGAAGGGGAGCCCAGGCGGCGGAGAGGCGCGGGAAGAGGCGACCCAGGGCGCTGCCCGGGCGCGGAGGAGGAGAGGATGCCCCGCGCCCGCGAGGAGCTTCGGGGGGAGCCCGGGGCGCGGGCCGGGAAAGGAGGGCTGGCTGGGGGCCCGGCCGGGGGGAGGCGGAGGCGGAGGCGGAGGCGGGGGTCCCGGGCGCCGGCCGCGCGCTCACCAGATGAAGTCGGTGCAGTGGCTGCAGAAGGTGGGCTGCTTGAAGAAGCGGGCGGTGAACCTGTGGTTCTTCACCTCGTGCACGTTCTTCTGGCGGAGCGCGCCTTTGCGGGCGAAGCGCACCGTGCTCTCCTCGCCCTCGCCCGGCGCCGGCCCCGGGTCAGCCATCTTGCGCGCGGGGAGCGGGCTCCCGCGAGGTGCCGGCCCCGGGGCCGCCGGCCCGGAAGGCGCGCGAGGAGCCGGTCGCTGCCGCCGCTGCCGCCTGGCCCGCGGGCGCTTCCCCTGCGCCGGCTCTGCGCTGAGCCCGCCTGTCACTCGCCCAGCTGCGGCCGCGGGTCCAGCTGCGCTCGGCACCGCTGGCCCCAGCTGCGGGGGAGGGAGGCGGAGCCCCGGCGGGCCCCATCCTCCTCATTTGCATCGCGCCCAGGCCCCGCCCAGGCCGCCAGCTGCTTTGCATACCGGCACCCCCGCTGCTGGGGCCTCCGGGCGAGCGTGCTCCGCCGCAGCGCTGCGGCGCGGGACCAGCCCGGCCCCCACTCCGTCCTCGGCCCGGGTCGCACCTCGGGTCCTCCCCCCACGGCCCCCCGGGAGTACCGAGAGCGGAAGGCCCTGCGGGAAGTAGGGTTGGGGTTGGCAGGGTTGGGCGCAGTGGATCAGCCCTGGCCTCTGCGGAGACTGGTACCCATCCGCCCCCGTCACCCCATTGGTCATTCTGCGCGCGGCTCCCACAGGGACGGGCTCTCGCTGCCACTCATCCGGAAAGGCCCGTGGCTCCGCACACTTACACACACACACGCACACGTTCCGCAGAGGTAGGGGAGGCGCAATCTTTGTTTCCTATAAGTCCAACTCCACTGCATAGAAGAGTCTTGGCGTTGCTTGCGCAAACACGCGGGAGAAAACGCCCTACCTCTGTCCATCCCCTCCGCAAAGACTCGATTTCTTCAACTATAAAATAGGGCTAATGCGGAGAGAGAGAAATTTAATAGATCAGTATTTTCCCCAAATTCCATCCACTTCGGACTCGCCTTCGCAGACAGTGGTCCAATTTGTGCGCTATCTGGTTTGATCTCTCTGAGTTTGAATAGCAAGAAGCATCTTTTTATTACAGTCTCTCCAGGTATTGCATCTGCCCAAAGCATCCGAGACTGAGGGAGGCCTTCTTTTATTTGTGCAGAGAGGAGATTGGCAAATGTTACAGAGATGTATTCAAGACATTAATATCCAACAGGAATGCTCTCCTTGATGCAATTTGAAGGATGGAAGGGTAACTTAGAGGTAATAAATGTCTGAATGTGTAGCTCGGCGTTAAGATTGTAGATACAATCTACGCACTGTATCTAAACGCCCTCCAGCATGCCCTGCACTCTGAGAATGAAACACTGCACTGGACAATGAACTACTCCTCACTTACGCTGGACAGCACGGAGCTGCTTACCATCACGTCCCAGTGTGTCAAGTCCAGTGCCTGACATCTCCTAAGGAAGAGCCCAGTAAATACTGGATAAGCGAGGGGCCGGGGATTTAGCTCAGTGGTTCCGGCCCCTGCCGCGCAAGAGCAAGGTCCCGAGTTCGATCCCCGGTTCCAAAAGAAAAAAAGAAAAACATTGGGTAAGCGAGTGGGTGAACTAGCGATTGGAGACTCAAAGAGCAGTGTCACTTTGTCCCTACCCATGGTCAGTAGATGTTCAAAACAATAAACATCAAGTGCTTGTTAAGGGCCAGGTACTCGTGCCGTCTTTAGTCACAATGACTCTGCGTAGATTTGGTAAGTTTCACTGTGAATAAGGACAGCGAGCTCTGAGTGACTAAGCTATTCACCACACACACTGTCGTGGAGTGGTGATTGGGCAGTCCTAGCTACAAAGCTCACTGATGACAAAGGGGTGAACCTGAGTAGTGGTAGAGCTCCGGTCCCACTCTGATAATTTTTGCCTGGAAGCTACTGAGTGATAAGTCATTATTAGGTAGCATATGGAGATCCATGGCTGTAATAATAGAAGGTCCTTCTCCTACATAGTAATTCAAAGGTAACAAGGAAAAAATAGCATTCACTTTTAAGGTCTACATGTTTTGTGAAACTGGATGTGCCTGTCTATTATTAGTCCTTTAAGAGGCCCCACCACCTCCCAGGGAGGCTTGGGGAAACATCCCAAGAGACATCGCTGCTGAAGTAGATTTCCTTTGAACCGATGAGGTGGAAGCTCACAGCCCACATCCTGCCTTTTGAACGAAGTGCCCTGGATGACTTTGGTCTGTAACAACAAACAGTACCTCATGGCGACTGGCCCTGGTTTTGCAAGGGCTGAGGATTGCAAAAAGCCATTCAGTTTCTAGAGGATCTGTACCATCTGAGGCTGGAGAACCAGGTTCCCATCTGACTCACATCCCTGTACATTGGGGCTCTTTTGGGGGGGGGGCTCTTAAATTGTGACTCTTGGATGCTGTTTTCTGGCCAGCCCAGTGATTTCAGTCTTTCTAGTTCACCTGTTGTAGAACTTTACCTAAATATCCAAATTCTAACTTCTCTAGGAAAAAAAAAAAGGAATGACCCAATGAAATTTGCATTCCTGGGGCTGAGGATTTAGCTCAGTGGTTCTGCCACCTGCCTCGCAGGCACAAGGTGAATTGGATCCCCAGTACCAAAAAAAAAGAAAAAAGAAAAGAAATCTGCATTCCTGAACTCATTCATTCATTTATTCATTCATTGAACAAATGTTTATTGTACACCTGCTATGTACTGGCCCATTAAATAAACCAGACAAAAGTCCCTGTTCTCATGGAGTTTATGGGAGAAGGCAATGAACAAAAGCCTAAACAACTAATAAACCTGTACTAGGTGGTAGGGAGATTCATTCTGTAAAGAATATTAAAGCATTGCAAAGCACAAAGAATGACAGTGCCCAAGAAAAATTTTCTCATTAGCAACATGTGACCAAAGCCCTGAATAAAGTGAAGGGATAAGCCACAAGCATGTCTAGGGTAGCATGTTCCACACAGAGAAAACAGCAAATGCAAAGAACATGCTTCTTCAAGTAGGAAAAACAGCAAGGAGGCTGCAGGTTGGAATATACGTAAGAGGAGGTAAAGAAGGTAGCAGAGTCCACATCTGTAAATGTGTCAAGGAGTTTGAATTTCACTCCAGTGAGTAAAGCCATTGGAGGTTGGGAGCAGAAAAGTGTCCTGATAGGATTTTTGTGTGTATTTTAGGATTACCCTACTACACAGAAAGTAAATTACAAAAGAAAAAAGGGGAGAAGCAGAGAGAGCAGCCACTTGAGCAGATGAGACAAGAGATGAAGACCATGCAACGTGGCGCCACATGAAGCTGAAGGGCAGCCATTTCCTGTATATCGCCATGGGCTCTTCAGGTTACCAGAGTCCCCACCTGGTCGCCTCTGTTCACAAAACAATGAATACTGGACCCTTGAAAAACTTCAGAGACAATGAGGAAGCGGGTCGCTCTAGCTGGGAATGTAGTCCAAGGTCTTTTCAGTCCAGACTTGATACGTGATGTATGTATTTATTTCCTGTGGCTTCCCAAAAAAACCCCACAAAATTATTTCAAAACTGAGTAACTAAAAATAATAGAAATTTATTACCTGTAGCTCTGGAAGGTAAAATCTCTTAATTTCAGGTATCATTAGGGCCAATTCCCTTCTAAAGGCTTTAGAAGAGAGTCTGCCTGTCTCTTCCAGCTTCTAGGGGCTGCCAGCATTCCCCATCTTCCTTGGCTTGTGGCCACGTCTCTCTGATCTTCCTGTCTGCACCATCTTCTTCTCTGTGAGAGTCTCCTCCTCTTCTGACTGTCTAGACTTTCCTGTTTCTCTCATAAGGCCACTGGTCATTGGATGTAGGGTTCAACCAGATAATCTGGGATGATCGCTCCATCTGAAGATCCTTAATTTGGTTACATCTGCAAAGACTTTTTCTTCAAAAAGACAACACAGATCCCAGGAATTATGACATGGCCATATGGGGAGGGAGCACATTTCTAACAATTGGAGTGCGTAACCCTGGGCAAGTTACTTCCTCTCTCTTTATCTCATTTTCCTCCTCTGTAACATAGTGCACAGATGGAGTAGTTTGCCTTCCAACTCTTTCCTTCTCAGGCTGCGCTCTCCAGCACAGTAGTTATTAGCCACAAGGGGCTAGTGAATCCTTGAAATCTAGCTAGTCTGCATTGATTGTAATTAAAACATATTCGTCATCCTTTATGATCACATAAGCCATCACCCTAAATTTCAAGTATGTAGTATATGAAAGAATGTAAAAACATCTCACAAATAATTTTTGTCTTCATTGCATGTTGAAATATAACATTTGTAATATACGGAGATAAATCAAATTTCTCTCTAAAATGAAATTTACCTGTGTGGTTTTATTAATTTATGTTTTGTAAAGTGGCCACTAGAAAATGTAAAATTATATATGTGGCTCACGTTGTATTTTTTTGCATATCTCTGTTCTAAAGCATAGGTGAAACTTGTGAAGTAAATTAATTTGAAATAGATATATCAGTAAAAGATCATTTCTATCCTATGTGGCCTCAGTAGTGGTGGCTTGATGGGAGGCTGAAATACCTACTTTCAAGATTCTCACTCAATTGACTAATAAGTTGATGCTGGCTGTCAAATGGAGCTCACCCAGGACTTTGGCCAGCAGTGTTTCCTGTTCATGCAGGCCTCTCCACTGCCTGTTCATGCAGGCTCTCTTCATAGCATAATGACTAAATTCCAAGAGTCAGTGCCCCAAAGCACGGGAGGTAAAGGATTAACATTTCTTAAAGTCTGACCTACCAACTGGCTCAGTGTCATTCCTGACATTTTCTGTTGGTCAAACAGTCACAGACTCATGTTCAAGAAGAGAACCCATTTCTCAATAGAAAGAGTATCAAAGAACTTGGGGCACACAAAAAGAGCTCAATAAATATTTGTTGAATTGAGAAAATGTCATGGTTTCCATATGACACATGAGGAAACAAAAGCTTGAAATATTAACAATTCTCAAGGTTACTCTAGAACTAAAACTATAATGAAAAGTTAATGTCACAGCCGGGGGTTTAGCTCAGTGGTTCCGCTGCCTGTCTCATGAGCCCTGTCTTATGAGCGTAAGGTCCCGAGTTCAATCCCCAGTACCAAAAAAAAAAGTTAATGTCAACAACTTACCAATCTAACTATTTAAATATAGGATGACCAAAAATTGCATTTTTATTAATGTTTATAAGATAATATA